CCACACAGGGAAATACGGATGCTCAGGTTGGGTGAAAGGAAGCAGGATGCAAAATGGTCCATGTGGAATGAACGACCATTTTGAAAAAGTATATGGGAAAAAGATCAGAAAAAAACAACAACAAAATATTCCTGCTGCTTTTCTAGTAGGTAGCTTTCCCATCTTTCTACTCCATTTTCTGAATTTGACAGTGTGCATACATGCCTTTTATAATTGGGGAGAAAAATTTAAAAATCCCCAAATATAAAGCATTTTTCTATTCTAGACTCAGGAACCCTGTTGGCTAAACCGTTCACTTTAATTTATTTTCTTTACTGATTTTAGAGAGAGAAGAAGGGAGAGGGAGAGATAGAAAACTGAAGAGAGAGAAGATCAATTGGCTGCCTCCTGCACGCCCCCAACTTGGGATTTGGCCCACAACCTGGGCATGTGTCCTGACCGGGAATCGAACCGGCAACCTCTTGGTGCATGGGTCGACGCTCAACCACTGAGCCACACCGGCCAGGCAAAACTGCCCACTTTACATCTTTAATAAATGACAGAACCTTGTGAAGCCGACAGCAAACACTTAAACCCTGTAACTTATCCCCTGATGTCAGCTTTGCAATCGGCTACTGATTATTAAACCCTCCAAATACATCAAATCCTCAGGTCACCTTATGATTAGGTTCTATTATTATCCCTCTGCTAAAGACACAGAAACCAGAGCTCAGAGAGGTTCAGGACCTGCCCAAGGTCACACAGCTAGAAAACACCAAGGTGACAATCCCACCAACTGTGTCTGCCACTGTAGCTCAAGCACCTGAGCTGACCAACCTTTTGCCTCCCGAAAGGGCAGCAGGAAGAGAAACGCCTGTCAGGAGTTGCCATCTCCTGCACCGGATTTTTAAAGACCGAAGTAAAGCAGTAACAACATCTTGGGGCACTCACCTCTCTCGTCTTCTCTCTTCAGCAATGTTCCTCACCCTGCCCTCTGACTCGCTCTTTGCTTGTTTTGATTTTTTTTCTTGTCTTTCTTTTTGCTTTTAACTAATCACTTAGTTAACAAGTTAGCTTTCTGGAGCATGGGTCTGTTCCTGGTGACTCTATGAGTGTGATAAAGAAATCAGCCGGCGCTGATACAGAAGTCAGAAAGGTTTAAATCAAATCATCCTCCACAACAATGACATTAATTATGCTTTTAACACGTTTTACTGCTTTTTTTTCTCACTTCACGCCACATCTGTGTGAACAATATCCAAAAGATTTACGGTTTTCTTTCGTAATTACAGACATACAGGCTGCACACTTATCAAAATACTTGCTGAGCAATCATGCTATATCGCATTCTCTGCCAAAGATTTGTGTTGGCAGCAGTCATTCAAAACAAAAATGTTGAATCAGGACTTGTGTGGTTTTGTGGGGCGGGGGTAGGGGGAGAAGTATTTCGACAAATAATTTGCCTGTCAAGAAATATAAAAACAGGAGAGTGCATCCTGGCAAATTTTCCAGGAGTGTTATTTTTATGGAGGGGGTTGGGCCGTGTGTGTGGGGAAGACAGTGAGCAGGGGAGTTCTGAGAACCAAAAACACATCTGACATTTGGTTCTTGTGTCTGAGGATAAAATTTAATGAGAACAAAAATATGTCTTTCTAATTCCCCCAAGAAATCATTAAAACATTTTGTTATTCTTAAATGTCTCGGAATGAATTAGAGCCCCTAAAGGGGCTGTTCATATGGTCCGTCTCCATCAGTTAAGGCTCCTCGTTCTCTAACTCCGTGACAGCTGGGGACATACGTTTCCCCTGTCCCTCCATTTCTGCGGAGGGAGTTGGGAAATCAGATGCGTGGAGTCAGCACCAGGCTTGGAACAACCCTTTGGGGAGAGGGCAAGAGGGCACAAGGACATTCTGGAAAGTTCCTGCCTATCTCGGGAGCTCTCAAGGCCCCTGGCTGGCACTAGTCCTAGCCCTGTGATTGTGGGCCTTATCTCCAGGAAGATGAGGGTCCCATAGTGAACCCCAGAAATGATGCCTCTTTTCTAAGTGGGAGCTGTAAGCCCCTCATCTCCAAGTACTAGAATGGTTGGCATTCCCCTGGGTTTGTGACAACAGGTTGGTCATTTGAGCAATGATCTGGTCACCTCTGCCACCAGAACGCAAGCTCCCTGAGGGCTGGGCCCTGGTCTGGATTGGTGAGCTCATGGTCATGTTCCCAGTGTCTAGCAGGTGCCAGGCACACAGCAGGCACTCAGTAAAGGCTATCTGAGTAAATAAACACACAGCAAGCAGAGGGCTCTAGTTGAAAAAGTACCTTTTTGTTCAAAGAACCCTTCCTCCCCTTTCTGCATCTGAGTCGTACTTCCACTCCATTCACCGAACAGTGATTAGGTGCCTACTGTATACCGGGTTCTGGGTATACAAATTTAGTATGACTCAGTCCCAGACTTGGAGAATTTTACTTCTCCTAGGGATGCCAGCTACACGTATGAAGATGACAGTAGCCGACACTACAAGTACTACTATGTGCCATGTGCACTGAAGGCTCCTACAACCACATGAGGCAGGTTCTCATATTCCCAATTTATAGAAGAGGAGGCTGACGCTCAGGGAGGTGAATTAATTAATCCGCAGTCACCCAGTGCGGAAGTGGTGAGGCTGGATTCCAACCTGGGTCTTGCCCGGAGCCTGGAAACACAAGGCTGCATCAGTGCTGCCCCCTGGTGCTACAGATGAGGTACTATGGGGCCCAGTGAAGGAGCCTGGCTTGAGGACTCCTAGGAGGCAACTTTGGGGTCTACACTGAGTCATCTTCCACTGTCATTTGTTGGTGAGATTGTGGGTCTTGAAAGATTGAAAAGAGTGGGAAATAAGAAGGTATGCTTTTCCAAAAATTTTCCAGTAACTCTGATGAGGGTGGAGACATTATAAACAAAAAGGAATAAGGCTTCTTGGACATGTGCCTGGTGTGGTCCTCAGGGGCCGCAGACACTTGGTCATTTCAGCCTCATGCTACAGGGCCATGTCATCGGGGGTGAGAGAGAGAGTGTGTGTGTGTGTGTGTGTGTGTGTGGTGGGGGCTCAGAGTCCAGAGGGCTATGCTATCTAGCTCCAGCCATTCTTACCACCAAAGCATTCTCACTGAGAAAACCCACGTGGCCATGCTGCCTTCCCGAGAGGACGGAAACAGGGCAGAGCACAGGCCTGGGGCAGAGGGGATCAAGGCTACAGATGCCTCTGTAGTGGGCTGAAAGGTGGCCCCCAAACATAAATCCCTGGAACCTGTGAATGTGACCTTATTTGGAAAAAAGGTCTTTGTAAATGCAATTAAGTTAAAGATCTTGAAATGAGATTGTCCTGGACCATCTTGGTGGGCCCTAAATCCAATGACCCCAAACCCTTATTAGAGAAAGGAGAGGGAGACTCGAGACACAGAGACAAAGAGACAAGACGCCCATGTGAAGACAGAGGCAGAGACTGGAGTGCTGTGGCCACAAGCCCACCGTAAGTCCAGGAAGATCTCGTCCAGAAGTCCTTCACTAACTACACCTGCAAAGACCCTGTTTCCAAATGTGACATTCTGGGGTTCAAGGTGGATGTGAATTTTGGGAGGACACTATTCAATCTTCTTAAGTTGCCCAAGACAGGTAAAACAGGTAACTTTCCCATCCTAAATACAAAGACCCCACAAACAGCTCTTGTTTCAAATATAAATGACTCTGCCTTCTCCATGGCTTGGTTTAGAATGGGATCTCACTTTCCTCTTCATAAACCCTCCGCCCAGTCAACCCCCACAGCACTGATTCCGCAGCTGCACGGACGGATATGGGAAAGGATGAGGGGGCTGTCTAGGTAGAGGAGTTAGCACAGTGGGGTCTCCTCCCAGCTCCACCACTGTTACGAAAATCACTACACTTTTCTAGACCCCTTTTCTGACTCAATACATGAGAAGGTGGCAAAGGATAGGCCATTTTTAAAAAGGCAAACTTTTTATAGAAGTATATCAAGAAACAGCAACTCCAGCCCCCAGAGGTCCCTTCCAGGAACTGTTGACATTTGATGTCTAACAGCGTAGGTTAATGTTTTTCAACTGAGGCGAAATTCCTATAACATAAAAGTAACCACTTTAAAGTGTACAATTCAGTGGCATTTAGTACGTTCATGATGTTGTGCAATCACTACCTTTATCTAGTCCCAGAATATTTTATTCCCCCGAAAGGAAACCTGTTACCCATTAAGCACTCACTCTCCATTCCCCCCTCGCCCAGACCCTAGGCAATCACCAATCTGATATCTGTCTCTATAGATCTGCCTATCTTGGACACTTCAGATGAATGGAACCCTGCGCTATGTGGCCTTCGTGTCTGGCCTTTCATTCAGTATCATGTTTTTGAGGCTCATCCACATCACAGCAGGTGTCAGTGTTTCATTCTTTTTTATGACGGAATTATATTCCACTGAGTGGACAGATCACATTTAATTATCCATTCATCCACTGACAGATATTTGGGTTGTTCCCCCTTCCGGCCACTGTGAACAGTGTGGACAGGTTAGTTTTTGCCTATCTTCATGTTTTATGTAAATAAGCGTCATAGAGCACATGTTCTTTTGGGTTTGGCTCTTGCTCAGCATCAAACTTTTGAGGTTGGCTGCACCATGTTGGAGGAAACTCTTGAGGTCTTTCCTCCAGCGCTCTCTGCTGGCAGAAAGCACTGGGCACCATTGGTCCTTGGTGGGCTTCCCAAGACAGTCCAGGTGGAAGACCGCACCAGGAGCCCCCAAAGCCTCGTTGCTGATATCAGAAGGTGGTGGGGGAAGATGGAGGAGATATGTAGGGATGTCACACCAGACTGGGTATAGGAGCCCTCAACCCCCCATAACCCCCACCCATGGAGGACATGGCCTTGCCCAGGAGTCTCAGTTTGTACCCAGATCCCACCATGAGGAGGCCCTTGTGTAATGGGGCCTAATGGCCATTTCTTCTCATTAATTACTCAGTTATGGAGCCCAAGCATTTCTTACCTGGTGCTTCAATTAATTGCTTGTAAACACTCAAGAAAGCAGCCTCAGCTTCCTGACTTCTTTTACTAAGGGCCACCACCTTTGGAAACAAAAGAAAACGTCACGTGTAACCATGGCATCTGAGTCTACAAGCAAATTTGATCATTTCTACTTGTGTAAACATGGGGTGGGATGGGGGATGGAAAAGGAAGGTTAAAAGTATGGAATTAGAAAGTTCAGGTTTACATCCCAGCTCTACTGCATTCCGGCTGTATAACCTCGGGCAAGTCACTGGTCCTCTCTGAACCTCAGTTTCCTCGTCTGTAAAATGGGAATAAATAATAGAATCTAATTCCTAGGCCTGTTGTGAGGATTAAATGAAGCTGCACATAAATGGTTAGCACAGAGCACACAGTAGATCATTAACAGTTACTATTATTATTCTTGTTATTAAAAGGCCACACTGGAGGTTCAAACTCGCCCATGTTTTGGGGAAAAGGTGGATACATCTGGGGAATATTTCTCGCCACTGAAAATGAAAGAGAAATCGTTACATCTCTAGTAAGAAATCAAACAGCTTCAACAAATGTCAAGGGTGACAGAGTTACATGAAACAGTTCCTGGCATACCAAAGGTGCTAATAAATGCTCCTTGACTGATGAATGCATGGGTAACCGAACAACTCAGTGTGAAGACCCACATTCAACCATTCATTTTCTTGCTCACAGGCTTTTCTGGTTCTGCCAGTGAGACTCCATAAGGTGCGCCTGGGTGAGACATTGCTGAGGCTCAGTACCACATCCCTCCACTCTGGGCTCCGAATCTGAGCTCTGGCCTCACAGCTGCCTTGATGCTGGTTGGCTCCTGGTGGCCAGTCCCTTTGGCTTAGTCCTGACCTCCACCGCACATGAGCTCCTGGCATCCATAGGTCACCATCCCTACCTTCCTCGAGGACATTCTGGGGTGGATAGCCCCCCTTTGGACTAGAACGGCTTTATTCTCCCTGGCACCGACCTAGCTCTCCGTCTGGTACCAACTTCCTAAATGATGAATCTATCAGAGCATCTACTTGCAATCACCCTCTTTCAGAGTTGGGCTTTTCTTATGAATCCCAAAGATGCCAACTAAGAGGGTGTTTGTCACTGAATTCCTCCCCTTGAAGTAAGCTCTGAGAGTGCATTGTCTGGTACAATGAGTGCTCAACATAACTTGTTGAAAGAACAAATTGAGTCTTGTTTGACACCATCCTGGAGAAATGACTGGGGCCAATTCTGAGACAGGTCATTCACAGAGGCGGGCAATCGAGCCACAAGCCCTGGAGACAGGCCACCTGGGTTCAAATCTCAGCTCCACCACTTACTATCTCTGTGTCCTTTGGCAGTAGGTCACTTAAATTCCTGTGCTCTACTTCCACAGCTGTAAAATAGGGATAACGATATGACAACCTCCCTCAAAGGGTTGCAAGAATCAAATGATTTGATACATGCACAGTCCTGTGCAAAACTCCTGGCATGCATTCAGCCCCACAGATATGTCACCTCTTGGTATACCCAACCCCTTCCTTCTTGCCTATTATGGGGACAGGCTCTGCCCAGTGCTGGGTGATTAACTTCAGTTGTGCTCATCTCTGGTCTCCTACGGAGATCACTTGAGAAAGGCCCTGCATCCACATGTAGCAGTGCACTCTGGGAAGAAGAATTCAAAAACCATAGTGCTGCCCTGGTTGGTTTGGCTCAGCGATTAGAGCATCGGCCTGCGGTCCAGAGAGACCCAGGTTCAGTTCCCGCTAAGGGCACGTACTGTGGTTGCAGTTTGTCCCCGGCCCTGGTTGGGTCGTGCGGGAGGCAGCCATTTGAGGTGTCCCTTTCACGTTGATGTTTCTCTCTCTCTCTCTCTTCCTCTCCCACTCTATCTGAACAAAAAATGGAAAAATGTCCTCGGTGAGGATAAAACAAACAAACAAACAAACCATAGTGGTTCCTCTAAAGCTTCCAATATGGCAGCCATGAGCTCATGTGTCTGCTGAGCACCTGAAATGTGGTAAGTCCAAATCGAGATGTGCTGAGTACAAAATACACACAGACTTTAAAGTTTTAACACACAAAAACAGAATTTACAATAGCTCATCGGCTTTTTTTATACTGGTTACATGTTGAAATGATAACATTTTGGATATCACAGGTTAAATAAAACCTATTATTATTACTCATTCCACCTGTTTTCTTTTACTTTTTGAAAAATGTGGGTAATACAAAATATAAAAATACATTCGTGGATCACACTGCATTTCTATTGGACAGTGCAGCTTGAAGGTTTTACAAGGTCCATACTGAGTTCATTATTTAAGAGGGGTAGAGAGAACTGTATGATGGATGTTAAGCAACTGATTTAAAAAAGTCAGTTACAAAAGCTCCTTAAGTTCTCTTATTATTCTGAGAACAATCTCTGATCTTTCGCTTCCAGAGTGCAAGTCTTTCATCCACTCAACAAACATTTCCTGAGCACCTGCTATGTGCCCAGCACTACGGGCTGAGAACTCAGCGATTAATAATGCTGCCTCAAGTCCCACCTACTTGGGACTCCCACTGGGGAGATGAACATTAAAGCAGATTCCCGAGATAATTAATTAATCACAAGACCTAAATGCTTCAAAAGGGCCTTGAGAGAGTGGAGATGGGGGAGGCCGACCCAGTCTGGTGGGTAGAACATCAAGACCTGTCTCCCTAAGAAGGGGAAGGAGGCAGAGAGAAAGAATGCTCTAAAATCTAGGCGAAGGGAAAATCACCGAGAGTGGGCAGATTTTTATTCTTGCTGAGATGGACAAGACACAGTTCGTGCTTTGGAGACTCACAGCTAAATTCGAGACACAGCTCCGCCCACGAGGAACCACAACATGGGAGGAGGTGTTACCAACACTGGGGCCTCCAGAGTAATGTAAGGAGAGGGCAAGCATTTCAGATTTTGGGGGGCATCCCTGATGGCTAATAACAATAAAGGGAACATTCAGAGTTTACCATGTGTTCTCACTGCTCATGAACACCTCTCTCCACAGACATGCTAAGCACTGAATGTGGCTGATGTCATTATCTCCATTGTACAGAAGAGAAAACCAAGGCTCAATGAAGTTAAGTAACTTGCCTGAGATAACCCAGCTAGTAAATGGAAGAGTAGGAGTCACAGCAGGTCTGGAGGTTCAAATTACTATTCTGAATCCAGACACTGGCCTCTTTTTCCTGGATAGAAAAACACTCCTAGCCAGTAGGGACAGTTGCTCGGACCCCACGTGGGTGCTGCCATCTTGAGATGTCCTCTGTGGCTGTCCCAGGTGAGGGGCTGCTGTGCCGTCCTCCTGGAGCCCAAGAAAAGCCACGAGAAATGAAAGCAATTTCCCTCCTGATCCCTGGATGGAGAATTATCAAAGAGCAGTCAGCGGAAGGCTGAATGCTTCATTTACAGTCATCCACGTGCAGCATGTGGGGTGGCTGGGGTTTGGGGTAGGCATTAGAATGTTCCATGGGCTTCTAAAAAAAGGAACTCTGGGCAGAAGCAGGAGCAAGTGCCGGAATATTCCTTTAATGTTTCCCTGGATCTGCCTACAGCACCCTCTACTTTCCATTCACGGAGCTTATCAGTTTTTAATGGTGTATTGTTGATGTGTGACTGTCTCCCCATTAGAGCTGTGCTGTCCCATACGGTAGCCAATTATATTGTATAATATCTCAATAAATTTTACATTGATTTTATGTTGAGAATGATAGTATTTTGAACATATTGGGTTAAATAAAATATATTAAAATTAAAGTCACCTGTTTCTCTATACTTTTTAAAATGTAGCTCTTAGAAAAATTTAAATCACACATGGCTTGTGTTATATTTCAACTGGACAGTGCTGGTCTAGATCAAGAGTTGGCAAACTATGGCCCTTAGGCCAAATCCTTCCTCTGTTTGTAGAAATAAAGTTTTATTGGAACACAGTGATGGCCATTGTCTATGGCTGCTTTCATGCTACAATGGCTGAATTCAATAGTTGTGACAGACACTCTGATTGCAAAGTCAAAAATACTTACTGCCTGGCCCTTTACAGAAAATGTCTGCTGCCTGGCCGGTGTGGCTCAGTGGTTGAGCGGTGACCCTGCACCAAGAGGTCGCCAGTTCGACTCCCGGTCAGGGCACATGCCCAGGTTGTGGGCCAGATCCCCAGTGGGGGGCATGCAGGAGGTGGCCAATCGATGTTCTCTCTCATCAATGTTTCCATCTCTCTCCCTCTCCCTTCCTCACTAAAATCAATAAAGAAAGAAAAAAAAAGAAAAGAAAAATGTTTGTTGATCCCTGCTTTAGAGGTTCTTCTAAATGGCTAGACAGTATTTTCAAAAGTGGGTATCAGAAAACATCCTGACTGGCATCCAGTTTGAATCGGTTCAAGTTTAGAGCTTCCCATAGTAAATATGAGTCTTGAAGACAGTAGCCATTTGGATGTCCTGCCTCAGTCAGCCTTGTTTTAGAGCAATGACCTTGTCTGTTTCCAGAAGGCTAGTTCTGATGGTTCAGAGCCTGATCTAGTGCTGGGCCTAAATATCATTAAGCATCACTTGGCCTCAGTTTGTTCATTCATCAGATGGGAAAAAAAATTTCCACTTGCCTAAGAAGCTATTGAGGAGGAATGACCTACTATGTGGCAAATAGTCCCATGGAAGTTGGCAAAAAGCTTTCTAATAAATCAGATAATTCTTCTTCCAACCACATACGATGTCTTTTCCAAGGTCTGCAGCTCTAATGCATTTCACTCATGTGCCCAGAACAGGTGAGCTCGACATAAATAAAAAGCCACGTATTTATGCCTCATGGCTGGGTCCTACCACACAGAAGGGCGGGAAAAAAGTGTCCAGAATGACAGATTTGGCTTGTGACAGGCAGATCTTTGAAGGCCATCTGGGGGAGGAGAAGGAAGAAGTGGAGGAGGAGGAGGTGGCGGCCAGCTACAGACACCAAGAAGGTCACATCAGAAATAGCTTAGCGTCTGACAGAGCATGCGGCATTTACACCACCTGCTGTGATGGAAGGGGTGGAAATTCGTTTGGTCCCCCAAGGATGAAAATAACA